GCAAATGACAGAATTATTTGTAAAATGCATTCAGAGATTCCTTTCCATCCTGCAACTGATTGATATCAATGGCAATATTAACAATAATAAAAGGCAAGGGCAATATTCTCCAGCTGCAATGTCCTTGTTTATTTCGCACACAGAAAATTTAATTTAACGCAGCATAATTTTTTACCCTTTTCGGTGACACAAACAGGCCCTGAATGTAAATAAGCCCGAAACACTGCTCTAGTTGGGTCACCATTATGTGGTGCCCTCAAAGATGAATTGCCATTTGATTTGTTTGTGCTGCTTGTGGCAGCAGTTTAATTTAATTATCGCATTTGTCATTTGGCCAACTGCCAGTGAACGCTGCTTGTTTTCTGGCCCAGAATCACTAGGGCCCTCCACCGGCCATGCGATTGACCATTTAAGCACATGCAAGCAGGCACAGATAGGTAGTTGGCCAAAATCAGAGGTCAAAACTGCATAGTAGCCATCTGCACAGGAGTTGTTTGCGGTTCTTTATAATAATATATTAATTTGGTTAGTTAGGATTGGTATACTACACTGTATAAGTAGTAGGTGAACAAGAGGTTCCCTTTTAGAATAAAGTAAAATTTGATGATAAAGAATTAGAAAATTTAATATAGAAAAAATTATTATTTAACATTTTTCTGAATACTTATTTATTTAACTAATTTTATATTTAAGAATTAAGACGCGTTCGCTGAACTATCGACCCGTTCGAGTTGCCTAACATACCTTCCTAATACATTAATCTCTTGCCTCAAATCAAGCGATGATACCACTGCAATCAGATTCAATCCCAAAACTTGTTCGACGGAGAGTAAATCAACATTTAGGTCGCACCTGAGTGGCAATTACATTCGGGTTTATGAGCGAGCGATGGTGAGCATTTAAAATGAAATGCCTAATGCAAATTGTCGAGACAGTTGCAGTGCAGACCGCAAACGAACAGTTTGCCAGCACACGCCCCTATGCCATCAATGCGGCATAATGCCGCACCACCCCCCAGCCACCCAAGGCTCCACATTTTCCTGCACCACCTCCTTCCCCCCGTTTCCTTTCCTCGCCGCTGGCACTAATATGCAAATGTAATTTGCTGCGTTTGGCGCGTGACGTTCGTTTGGTAATCGCAACACAATTACAATGTTGTCAGTTTGCCCGAGTGTGGGTGCGTGTGTCGCTGTGTGAGTGAGTGTGTGCGCCAGGGGGCGAGGGGTGGTGAGGGGGTGGTGCAACGGCTGCAGTTGGGACAGCCGCATCTACGCGTAATTAATTGATTTTTATCTGGCTTAAGGCTATTTTACAGTTTGTTGATGACAGACGATGCAGACACGAGTGCTGCTCCCTGGATGAGGAGCACAGCATGGAGAGAGATTGCACCACTGCAGTGGTGCCAATGGCAGCCACCTCTCCCGGCATCCACATCCATCCACCCATCCCCACCAGTCCAGAGGGCAACCCATATGCGAACCACATTATGGCCGTTGTGGAGTCTATTTAAAGCCACTTTTATGACTCTCACTTTGTCTCTGGCTTTTCGTTTGTCTCACTCGGTTATTTTATGCTTATTCTGGCTTAAATACAGTGGTAGCTAAAATACATTACAGATTATTATTTAGTTTTTTAATTATTTATTATTAATATTATGAAACGATAATCGATTTTACGTTATGTGGTATAAATTTTATATACTCGAAATGTACACAACAGGCCCGTTCGAATTTATAAGTTTTTCTCCCTGCTACTCAAGTAACTTTAATCGCTATCTTGCTCTATTTAGGTTTTGATGGTAAAAACGATATGCCAGAAATTTACCATGCACATATCGATTTGACCCCGACTTGTTTTTTTGTGTAAAGTTTAGTTTTGAAACTAATTCGACTGTTGAATTAAATGAAGAACAAAAGCCAATATTAAGTAATAACAATAACTCGTTAACTTGTTAAGCAATTTTCTAATAAAATCGAAAAAGCCTTATCCGCTTATACAACCTATAATTATAATTATAAGTTTTCAACTGCAATCGAACAGGCTGGCAATTACGCGAGGAGTTGGTAATTTGATTCCAATTAACGTAAATCTCTCGCTGCAAAACTTGATCCAGTGTGAGCGGTCGGTCGATGGGAAAATTGGCAAGTGCCAATGCAAATGGCCAAGAGGCTTAATGTCCGGCCACAGCAGGATGCCCATACACACGCACACACACACACAGTCGCCGAGACCCGTGTCCTGCAGTTAATTTGCTGATATTATTGCTGTGATTAACACATACATGTTTATGTGCCCTGACCGTGTTTTATATATAAACACAGAAGCACACAACACTGGTGTGGGTGGGAAATCTGTGCGCTGCACTTGAATTGACGTCGGTTTCTCACGCACACACACGCAAGCGTGTCCTTTGCCAGGATGATAAATGACTGGACCGAGCTTATAATATTAATAACATAGACAAAACACTTGAACATGTCGACATGCATAACATTTTGGCTCACACAGACAGTCGGATATCAAACATACAGCACTGAGGGAAAGTTTGAACTAAATTGGTGATATTTCATGTAATTTGAGTCTGGTTTGCGGTGCAACGAATGTCCTTCTAGTCTTGTGAAGAAAATTATTGAATATTTTCCAGTGTACACACACATTGCAGGGTCCTTAGTGTTTATATGTGTATATCAACTTGTAATTAATAAACTTGATGGAGAATGTAATTTAATTAAGCAAGCATTTCGATGTGACTCCGCCGCCATATCCTTGTTGTTGCCATGGCCAATTTGCCTGGCTTCCATCTACATCTATATAATTCACATTCTCCTTCTCCCTTTGCCCCTCTCTCTGTGAGTGTGTGTGTTTATCCGACTGGGTCTTTTGCCATGGCAGCCAATTAGTCTTATGGCATTTGAGCTCCCACACGGCGTATGCGTAACGTGAGATTATTAATGCAAATCGGGTTTGCATTGACAGGCCCAAGTTTTGACAGCTTTGTAAGGATTGACAAGGACAGAAAACCGTTTATTTGTAGGATATGATGTGATAAATATCTCACATATCTTACTTAACTGAAACTATATAAATGTTACAATCCTGAATAATCCTTCTAATTGCCCTTGGTTCTTAATTCAATGTGTATTTTATTTTCTATCATAAATTTATGAACTAAATAAGTTCTTCCTGAGACTAATAATCTTATTATTTTCTAATGAATCTCGGGGACATTAGCTAATTCGTGGAACCATTAGCAATCTTCAATTAGATGGGTTATCAAAGGTTATATTCTAGCATTACTTGTAAACAGCAATCATTATCATTCAAGCATAATCATTGAGTTCAGTTTAAAGATTAAACAAATGTTATTTAAGTTCTGGACTGTCAACTGCAAGTGCAGATAACAAACGACTTAAGCGGTTGCCCAAATATCCTGTTTGGGACAGAAACCGCAAAGGGTTTATGGGCCCAATGCCTGATTCTTAGTGAAATTTTCGAGTTTTGATTAATTTAACGCCTCTTAAAGAGCAAACACACTGGTAATCATGTGGGTGTGTGTTTGTACATAAATTTTGTTGTTGCTCTTAATTGGCTGACAGCAGTTGGGCCCCGGGCCCATGTCCTTGCTGCAAAGTTAATTTATTCTAATTAGTCAATAAATCTCAATTTATTTCACAATCAGGCCACTCTGTGTGTGTGCATTTGAGTGTGAGTTTGCTTGTGCTTTAAGGCATTTCTGCTGGCTGCCATGCAAATTGTAAATTTGTCCTGCTTTTCCCCGCTTTGAAAACCTACCCGCTCTCCCTAGAAAATCACATGTTCGGGCAGCTGCTGCAAGTGCAACAACAACAAAATACAATTCGGCATAATAATTACTGAGGCATTAAGCAGCATCACACCTTGCTTCCTCTTGTTATGCGCTTCAATTAAATTACGATATATTTCATGGCTCCCGGGGACATTTGAGTTGGGTAAATAAATAGCGGATTAAACTAATGCAAACAAGAGGATCGAAAAGTGGACACTTTTACCGAAATGTTCATATTGTGCATTTAATTTAGCTTATTATTATTGTTTGTCCCTAGCTACGGTTTAAACTAAATCACCGTGAATTACAATGGTAATAAATATTTTAATCATATTTAATATTCATTTTACCCTTCAATAAAATATGTTGTACATTTATTTAATTTCAAAATACTTTTCCCCAATATCATAATTTTTTTGTCTGTTCAATTTATTTGGAAAACACTGTATACGATACATACATTTAATTTTTTTTGGATGTGTGCAAATTAGGCAAATTAAATATTATAAGCATACGCACAGAAGCAGACAATGGAATATTTATGGGTAAATATGCGCATTAGATTGGAATTATTGAGTGAGAGGGTTTTAAAAAGTATTTAATTTAATTAAATGGCCACAATTGCGATTGTGCTTTTTGAGCTAGCTTTGACTAGCAAAATATTGTCACATTAAATAAACCGAATAATCCCCTAAAAACACTATGTATGTTAGTGGCAATTTAAAGTGCTAAGCACCGAGGTGAAACCAACATAAAATGTGTAGTTAAATCATTTGTGGAGGCATAGAAAAAGGTAAAATTATTGGAACTAAAAATATTTATTGGATATTATTGGATTGGATATTGTATAATATTCAAAAAAAATCTGCTATGAACCCTTCATTGATACAAATTCCAAGGTTTAATGAAAAACGAGAAAAATAGAAAGGAATTAAAAATTGCTGTACACCCAAAAAAACTTGATATGAATTCGATATGCTCGAAATGTAAAAATAAGGTCTATCCCGCAGTATTGAGAGAATAAGTACTTTTCACTTTTTAAAATTGACATTATTTTAGATCAATTGCATTGTAAAAACGATCTGCGTAAAAATTCCAGAAAATTACCATATCAATTTAATCCTGGGGTGTTTTTTTTTTGTATGAAGTAAATTACTTATACCATCTATTTGATTTATTATATTATAATGCCTACCTGAGTTTCGGTGACAATCAGCAGCTTGGCCATTTCGGTACGCTCACTGGCGCTGAGATACTTCTTCTTCTCGAACATTTTCTCTAGCTCAAAGATCTGCCTTCCCGTGAACGTGGTGCGGGCCTTCTTCTTTCGCCGGGCATCCGTTGATCCCGAATCCGAGTCATCCTCGGTGCTATTGGTGTTGCTCAGCAGCTGTGGATTGGCATTGCTGCCCGGTGAGCTGTTGTTGTTGCTGTTGCTGGTGGCCATCATCTTGTCCCGCATCAAACTGTCGCTGCTGCCCGTGGGACTAATGGCCGGCGGTAGAGCCAGCGTTGTCGCCGCGGTGGGCGTCAACTTCTTTTTCTTGGCCGCCGGCTTACCAGAGCTCTCTGCAATAAAAAAAGAGAAGAAAACAAAAGAAACACAACAAAACGGTTAGCCATATATGAGTATGCATATTTGTCTTGATCGTGTTTGCCTGACTTTTCTATCGAATCGCAGCTGTTTAACCTCAATTGGGTCTCTTGGCTGTCATTTCATAACCGCTTTTGCAATTAGCCCGTCAAATGTAACAGCAATTGACTGGGCCAACTGCCTTTTGTAATGCGTTGTTCGGTTGCCCTGTTATATGCTTTCCCCATTCTTCTTACTTCGCCTTTCAATATGCATTTATTTGCCATTTGCCATAAGCTTTTGTTTTCGACTTTTTACTCTTGGGTTAAAGTGGTTATTAATCGTATAAAAGAACTCAATAAAGAAAATAAATATCCCTTTATATTCTTAGAAAATATTTAAGATGCGCTGGGCCTTTTAGGTCTTTTCTTAAAGCTTTAATTAAAATAATTAAAATTAGGTTCCAAATTTACCTATAACTACAACAAAGTAAATTTCAATGTAAAATAGGGTCAAGTTAATTAATTTATGTCAGATTTAAGATTCTAACAAATCAACATAAAAAACACCAAATGTAGTATTTTTTGAACAAAAAATAATCCTTATTCATATCAAAATGAATAAAATTGAATATAACATTGACCAGCACATATCAATTTTATCTTTTATCATTCTTTTCTCTGTATGGTATATAGTTTCATATCGACTATATTATAAAAAGGCCTTGAAAGTTATTTTAAAGTAAAACTAAAAAAATGTTAAAAAGGGATATATTAACTGTCATATTCTAATAAGCCGCTGAGAAATAATTAGATCAAGAATTCAATCATCAAAGTTTTTTTAATAATCAATAATTTAATAATTAAACTTTGGCCACCTCTTCGTTCTTGTCCACTTTCTGCAGGGCATTCATTGGGCACTTTTATTGGCCAATGGCCGACTTGTAATGTCGGGCGTAAACAAGTGTTAACTGTGCTATAAGTGCCATATGCTTTGGCCGCGGCTTTTGGACTTGACGGGGCCAAAACGTGTCTGGCATGAGTCGATCGCTGGCTGGACGACTTCAATTACCGATGCATAATTGAAATCTAATTGACAGTTAAATGCAAAACGCTCGATATGCATGTGTGTGTGTGTGTGCTTGGTGCTACTGTCGTCGCTGTCGTTTGTCGCATTGCTAATACGCCGCGTGGGCCCCGACGGCCTCATATGCATGACACTGTGATTAATTAGCCGGGCGGGGGGCGCAGGGGGAGGGGTGTGCCATTGTCGTTGTATTTTCGCTGTCGCCATTGGCAATTGGCAATTTTCACTATCGATAGCGAACACAAGCAACCACCCCCAAGAGAAATGAGAGACGATGTTAGTGGAGTGTAAAGGGCGCCCCAATGGCGCGAAATCAATAAAACTAAATGGCAAAACAAAAGCGGAAAAACAACAAGCTGGCCAAGCGTTAAAAGCCCGCAACTTGTGCAATTAGAGCAACAACAATAAAAACTTTGCACAAATGTTTGTTTATATTTGCTGCTACCCCTGTAGCTCTGAGCTCTGTAGCTCTTAACGCCAATTGGCAATTGCCATGTCATTTTCATTAGGCCCAGTCGTCGTCGCCGGGCATTTAAATGTCGTTATGCCAAGTGGGTAAGAGAAAAAAATGGGAAAATATAAATGTATTTAGCTTCAGCTTGGAGCCAAACTCCGCTTGATTTGACGGCAGTTCCATTTATGGCAGCTGCAAACAAGTAATTAAACGAAAATTAACCGATGACTGTGTCAAACAATCGGATGTCTGGAAGTTCGTCATTCATTCAATCGCTTGTTGTTTTGACCAAGTCTGGTACGTGATTTTAATAACAATAAAAACGGAACACACAACATTGAGCAATTAACGCGCCAAGCGAACGGCGGCAGCAAAATTATTCAAATTGTGTTCTCAACGCTGCTTATTTTGCCCACCGATTGCCATTTTGTATGGTTTTCATTGTTGCTGCGGCAATTGCTAATTGCATTTTCGTATATTTTCGTGCCATTCCGCTGGCCTCTTTCGAATTAAATCATTTTAATGCAGCCAAAGCAAATGCATATTCAAATTGGCAACCATTTTCGATTCGCATATAAAATAAAAAAATAAAAATAACAAAGCAATGAGCCAAAAGTGCATCTAATTAAATTTTGCACATTTTGTTGACCAATTACAATTTCAATAGTTTATTAATTATCGAAAAAGAACGCGTTGAATATCTGTACATATGTATATGCAAACAATGTATGTGCTCTACAGTAGTTGGCACGATTTCAGTGATTTAAAAAGATAGATATATCAAATCGAATTGCAGAGAAAAATAAAATCTTTTATAAATATTAAACAACAATATTAAATGGTTTTAAAAATTAAATTATTATAAATATATGTATTTTTTTTTACAAAATATTCTTTGTGCTCTTCAAGAAACTTTCATTTGTTGAATTCTATACATTTTCAAACCTTAATTAAAGAGCAAATGGCATATAAAATGCATAGAAAATTGAGTAGCTGACAGACGAGCCGAATCATAACTGGAGTGTGGTAAATTCTAATGACCTGGCCATTAGACCAGCCAAAAAAAGGGGCAACGGCGGTGAGCGGTCCACGAAGATACCGATGGGCATCATTTAAGTTGGAAAAACACGCATACGCCGCGTTGCCCGCCGCACGCTTCGCTGAAGCGTGTTGAGAGCTCAGCGCTCCGCTCAATTGGCAGGCTCGTCGAGCGTTGCCACATGGCATACACATCCTACCTATGCACGGCGCCAATACGCAAGAGATGGGAAAGAGATCAATTTAAAAATAGAAACACTTTAAAAAATATTACGGAAAATGTTAAGCAAATTTAAAAACATTTAAGTAGAAATTTAAAAAAAGGAAAGCTAATTCGCAGGTTTTCCATTTCAAATATTTTAATGATTTTATTTCTACACCCAAAAAAAACGATGATCAATTTGAGTTTATCTGGAATCAATTTTTATTTGATATGAGGCATCTCAATTAGATACGCCCGAAATGTAAACATGTTTTAAGTAGGATGAATTTCGAGTATCAATTTTAATGCAATAGCATGGTAAAAACAATATGCGTATACGAATACCAGAAATTTACCATGCGCATATCGATTTGATCCCGGCCTGTTTTTTTGTGTGTACATTCTTTTTTGCTGACACTTTAAAATGCAATGTATTTCTTTTGTAATTTAAACCCATATTTAGAAATAAACATTTTTGTTGCTGTGCATAAAATATGCCCAATGCTTACCCTTCTTGCTGGCAGACTTGCCGAGGATTTGGCTCTGTTTGGTTGCCGGCATGGGTGAGTTGTTGCTGTCGCGGGACTTTTTGGCCACACACAGATTGAGCGGCTGATCGAGCGGAGTTGCTGCCGCCGCAACAGTTGCTGCGGTGACAGTTGCTGCAGCAGATGTTGCTCCTGCAATCGCGCCGCTGTCTTCCTCGCTGGCCTCGCTCATCGAAATGGAGGAGCTCCTCATGGGCTGCTGATCCTGGTAGGGCTTCAGAATGCTATTCGGCGATTTGGCCGGACCATGATGATCGAAACCGCCCTCTGGGCGGTCCTTCTTCACCAGCGATATGCCCAGAATATCGGCTATGGAGTGGGGGGTTGGGCGTGGTGGCAGTCGATCATAGACATGGGCGTGCCAATTGGTGGGAGGACCAGGTGTGGTTGTAATGGCAGGTGTGCTGGCTGAACGCCGTTGTTGCGGTTGCTGCTGCTGGACATGTTGCTGCTGCTGCTGTTGCTGCTGGGGATGCACTGAACTTGGCCTGGGAGCCACAGCCGCCTCCAGTTGCTTCTGCAGGAACGTGGTTGGCGGACTATCGGAGATGGGACTGGCCATATTGTTGTTGTCGCGCACGCGCAACATATTCACCAGCTTCTCCTTGCTGCTGCCGATCGGACTGACCATGGTCATCGAGGTGGGCGGAATGGTCAGTGGACTGCTGTAGTTGTAGCCGTTGCAGGCCATCTTGTACAGCTCGGATGTGGATTGCTGCTGCTGCTGTTGAAGATGCTGCTGCTGCAGGTGCTGATGTTGCTGCTGCTGCTGATCCTTTACAATGCCATAATTATGCCCCAGGGCACCGCTAGCCATTTCCGCTGCCTCCAGATGCGCGTCGCGTTCAGTTTCGGGCATCATTTAGGCCACTCTGCCTGTTGGTACACAGAAGAAAAAGAAAAAAATGGGAATAAAGTTAGTACACACAAATGGAGATGGAGATAGAGTGCGAAAGGGAACTAAGATTAGCCCGAACAGCTGCACATTTGTCGTCAACTTGTTAATGGTTTGCCTGCCAACTGCCGCCTGGTAATGTAATTTGTGCCCGCCCTCGACGTGAAGGCCAAAAGGCTTCGTTTACAGCGTACTTTCCACCCCCCACCCAACCTTTTACTTTGCCTCCTCAGCTGAGACCCGAAAGTAATGCAATAAAATACAGCGTCAGTCCGTTGCCACTTGCTGCCTGTGCCGCAATTTGCACAGCAAAAAATAACAGAGATTATAAAATGAATTTAGGAAAAAAAGTGATTTTATTAATGAGTAAATATTATTATATATTTATTATATTAAATTATTTAATTTAATTATCAGGTATTTGTTAGATCCGTAAAAATTTGAAATGAGTTTACAAATAGAGTGACGAAATTGTGAAATCTGTGACTAAGAAATCATTGGCAAAGCCATTGAGTGATAAGTGCTATACTAGATTGTAGAATATGAATCACAATCACTATGGACGGCAGTCCATGTAGTGACGAAGCGCACCAGGAGAGTGTGCGAAGGCGACTACTATATATACACGAAGAAATGAAAATCTACTGTGATGGTCCGATCATAATGAATGATACACCTATCGAAAGGTATTACGAAAACTAACAGGATTGCATACCAAGACTTTAAGAAAATCAATTGGCTTGGGAGAGAGAGCGGTGAAAGTGAAAAAGTGAAAATTTCGAAATTTGGAGCTGTTGGGGCCGGTGGGGATAAATGCCCCCTCGCAATGTTTTATTTGTATTCCTTTTAAAAATACCCGTCGAATGAGGGGTCATTTGTCAAAATCCGACGCTCCGTTCAAAAGTTATAGCCAAAATACGATTTTCTTCATCTTCCCAAAATGAAAATTTAATTCTGTTTGTCAGTTTGTCAGTTTGTCAGTTTGTCAGTTTGTCAGTTTGTCAGTTTGTCAGTTTGTCAGTTTGTCAGTTTGTCCAAAACATGTTTTTTAAGTTTTTAAAATTTGATATGACGTTCATCACATCGATATCAAAAACTTTTCTTCTACCACTTTTGGAAAAACTCGCTAGTTTAGCGGGAAAACAGCTATAAATAGCTAAAATTCGGAAAGCCGTAACTTATATACTACTAAAGCTACAGACTTGTGCTGCATCTCGTTGGAAAGGTATTTTGAAATGCTATAAACGCCTTCTATATGCAATTTGTGTAAATGTAACAGTTAAAAAAATATGAACAAAAGACAATTTTTTAAAACTTTTTTTTTAGCTTTTTTTTATTTTTCTCAAAAACGGCTCTAACGATTTTCTTTAAAACCTTAAACTGTATAGCCCTTGAGATTCCTTAAATTTTGGTATATAACACATTACTGTAAAAAGTCACGTTTAAAAGTTATTTTTATACGAAAATAGCCACGAACAATTAACGCTCCCTGAGTATTGAATTTTGTGTGAGGGTATCCGAACTGTATTTTAGGGTCATGGAATCAGTAAATTTGCACCTAAGAGTTCCATATAGGAATCTTTTGTTCTACGACTTTTGGAAAAAGCCGCTACTTTAGCGGGAAAAAAGCTAAAAATGGCTAAATTTCGTTAGTTTGTAAGTTCTAAACTACTAAAGGTACAGACATGTGCCATACCTCGTTTAAAAGGTATTTTGAAATACTTTTTAACTTAATTTGTTTAAATACAATGGCTTACAAATTATGATTGACCAATTTAAATTTAAATGTTTATATTAGCACCTATGAGAGCAAAAGTAAACAAACAAAAACTTCTGATATCAAATAAAAACACCTCTTAACGAGGTAAAAAACTAGTGACGAACGCACCTTCAACATACAAAAGTTCTGATATCAACATTTGTGACGAAAAATTATTACACTCGTCATTAAATAGACTTTCTAATATTTTCTCATTCGGCACGCTGCAATAGAAAATGCCTGTGAAGGGAAAAAGGCTGGAATAGTTTGCTAGGGCGGGCCGAATGAGAAAAGATTAGAAAGTCTATTTAATGACGAGTGTAATAATTTTTCGTCACAAATGTTGATATCAGAACTTTTGTATGTTGAAGGTGCGTTCGTCACTAGTTTTTTACCTCGTTAAGAGGTGTTTTTATTTGATATGTATAGACCAAAAATTAACCTCTTGTATTTCATAACTTATTTTATATTTTTCTTAAATTGCTATCTATTATCGATTGACATTTGGGCAGTAGATTCGCTTTCAGTGCAGTTCAACTTATTTAACCCTCCGGCGAGCCTTGGCTTCGGCTTCGGCAGAAATGGGTTGAGTCGAGTTGGGTGGGTCAGGCGTAGCCTATTTCCTGGCGCACTGCGTTGTGATTTGCATAACAAAATGTTGCACAATCATTGCGAAAGAGAGAAAGAGTGAGTGAGACCTAGTAGAGACAGAGATAGAGCGAGAGCGAGAGGAAGGATCCAACTAGGCGGCACATACGTTTCCAAGTGCTGAATTCAGGGGGAGGCAAGTGGGCGATGGGCGATGGGTTTTGGGTGGTGTCGCACAGCCTTGTACATTTGTCATTGTGAGCGTGCGTTTGTGTTTGCAAGTGCTTGCTGAAAATTTATGGCACAACATTTGAGTGTGACACAATTTAACTTAATTCGTTAAGTCAAAAGCGTGTGAAATGTACAAGGGAAATTATTATTTTTAAATTGCACCAGGTCTATGGAAACTACGAATAATTTAATTCAGCCAGCTAAGTTTTTCTGCTGACTACCTTAGAACAAATAACGCATTTTTTTATTTGGTAATTTGATTTAATTGGTATAGAGACATAACTTTCAGTTTTTACTTACAAACAAATTAATTATGACAGAAAAAATAAACTGTATCTTAAAGTCCCAGAAGATCAAAGAAAATCATAAATATTTAAAAAATGTAAGTAACTTTTCACGAATGCATGTGGTTTTCAGAAATGTAGCTTTAAACAAATTAAAAGCTGCGATAAGGAGATGAATTTAGTCATAGCTTAGTGTATATTTTATTGTAATATCTCTAATATTACAAAACTATTTGTCATAGATGATTAACTTTGGTTTAAAGATCAATAAGACTTTTTGTAATTGTAAAGTCATTTTATAATTTAAACAATGTTACTAAATTGGAAATAGCATCAAAGAAGAGTGTAAATGGTTCCTTGAACAATTTGTAAAACTAGCTAGGTAAGTTTTAAAATTTGTGTGAACTTTAATCCAAATCAAATATTTATTGTAGTAAAAGATTAAAATTCACTGAGCTAAATTTTATGCAAACAATTTGCAGTTAATTTGTTGGCATTACCAATGCATCCTTATGCGGTGTAACAACTCATTTCTGGCATTCCCAAAAGCAATTTAAATTAATACAAAGTGCACACTTACACACACTCATTCACTTGGGAAGGCTGAGCAGACAGCCACCCATCAACCACCCACATTTCTCAGTCGCAGTCGACGTCGCAGTTGGCGTCGCTGTCTAAATGTCAGATTCAAGCAGCTCGCTCAATAAAATGATGCGTGCTTAAATGTTTTTTATTGCCGCTCGGCATTCAAAACAACAACAACAAGGAAAGGAGACACGAAGAAATTTGCCACTCACACAGATACACCCACACAAATACAGTCTTGACAAATTTCTCTGTCAACATTCAAAAGAGAGAGAGAGTCCATTAATGTTGCCAGCAACATGTTGCCAAGGCGCCTAGCAAAATCACTTAAAGCGAAATAAAATAAATGGCAAGAAGCAACAACAGCAAAGCCAATTCAAAGCGATGATGATGGGTGGCAGGGGGTGGGAGGTTAGAGTGAGAAAGAGAGAGGGGGCAGGAATGTGTTGCTGGCTGATTTGGGGGACATATTCAAGCAGCGGAAGCAGCGCAGGCAAGCGGAAGAAGTTATTTCAATTGCCTTGCCTTCCAGCCCCGAACGCAGAAAAAAGAGAGAGAGAAAGGGAAGAAAAAGAGATGGGCAACAGTGGCAGAACACTGAAAACAAAATTAATAAATTCAAAAATGGTGCAATTCAATAAATCCAAAAGTTATATTAGGTAAACATTTTTATAGAATCTCAAGATTTCAGTTGGTATTTAAATGTGCCAAATACAAGAATTGCACTAAAAAATATTCTACAAATTTAAAAATAATTCATTTCAAGGTAGACATTTTATAGGCTCTTGAAATTTAAGTTGGTATTTAAATGTTACAAGAATTTGCTTAAAAAATATTCCAGAAATATGAAAAATTATTCGTATTTAGCATTAAATTCATAAAAAAAAGACAATAAAACTGGTATGTTTGCAAGGAAAACTTTACATTTAATTTCTTATATTTATTTTTAATTTTCCAAACCAATTTTTTTTCCTGTGTGCCTTCCAAAAAGAGTGCCCTGCCCTGTGGGCACGTTCAGTAGCTTAGTTGCCTCCAAGTGTGTGTATTAGTTACCTGGCACGCTTCTGCCAGGGCCTCCACGGCTCCCCCTCCCCCTCCTCCACCCTCCTTCTCTTTTATTCCCCCCTCCATCCATTGCCCTTCAATAGTGCGCTCTGCGGCAGGACCCAAGTGTCGAGTGCCAGGACGAGGGCTAATGGCATTTAAGTTTTGTTAGCTGGACTTGCCACCACGCTGCCAGGGCACATGTGTCAAGTCAGGAGCGGTGGATGTGGATGTGGATGCGGATGGGAATGTGTGACAGAAAATATATTGGATAGAATGCTAGGGATGGCTACAAGAGCTAAACTGTATGTCGTAGAATAGCCATTGTAATCCCGACACTGATGCACCCAAACAAATCTCTTTAAACCTAATTGTTGTGGTCTAAATATTTGACTTGTGTACTAGAACTAAGATATAATTCAAATTAGGTAAATAATTGTAGTTAAGGAGATTGAACTGGGTAAACCCAAGTAAATCACAAGATCAGAAG